CTCCTCTCCTCTCCTCTCCTCTCCTCTCCTCTCCTCTCCTCTCCTCTCCTCCTCCGCACTCTCTCGTCGTCTCGTTCCACCTCCTCTTGACGTCTTTCCATCTCCATCTCTCATCTTTCTACCTTACCTCCTCTCTTCTTTTTCTACCTGTCCTCGCTTGTCTTCTTCGCTTCTCTCCTTCTTCTCTTCTCTTCTCTGCGGTGCCTCCACATTTTTTCTCTCCTCCCACAATCTCGTCTTCGCTCTTGTCTTGCCATCTCCTCCTACCGTTTCTTTCTCCTTTTTTTTGTGTGTTAAAGAATTCCCTTTTTGCGGTCCTCTCTTCTGTTCTTTCTTCCTTCGTTTTTGTTTCCCTTTTCTTTTCTCTTCTGCTCTTCTATAAGCTTGATTCCTTATCTTTTACCTCAACTGATACGACTCACAATCACCTAATCAAGAGATCGATCAATCAATCCATCAATCAATCAATCAATCCATCAATATCAATCAATCAATCAATCAATCAATCAATCAATCAATCGATCAATCAATCGATCAATCGATCAATCTATCAATCAATCGATCAATCAATCATATGCCCTCCCTGTCCTGTCTTCTTCTCTCTTCTCTCTCGTTGATTCCCCCTCCTCTGTTCTCCTCTCATTTGCTTCTAATCACATCGGATGTATCCGCACATACTCACTTTCTTGGATGCATCCGACCGGAATTCCACATTAACCTGGATGAATCTGACCGCAATTACGTCCAGAGCTCAGTCGAAAAAGTTAGAGTATGAGAATGCCCTCAGTTGCTCATTTTACTTCACCTTGTTTCTAGGGGCAAGTCCCCACTGATCCCGACCCTGTTGATGGCTAGTGGCCACCAATCCTACTGATCCACCGTCCAGAACGAACAATCTCCCCCCTGATTTCCATCTCTCTTTTTTTTTCTTTTTTTTCTTTTTTAACAAACCGGGCTCAGTGCCCAAGGCTGATATTACCAATAAATAAGAAGATTGACGCCGCCGGGGTCCTCACAGTCTACCCGGAGAAACCGAACCGAACCGAACAAGCTGAGAACCGGGCTACGCTTCTTCAGTCCTTCCTGCTGGACTGCCAGATCAGAGTAAGGGCCAGATCCCACTGGCAAAGAGGATTGAAATAGTGTCTGAATCTGGACGTGTTTGTTGGCCAGGTGCAGAAAACTGTGATTGATCTGCTTTTCTGCAGCTCTGCGTCGAACACGTCCAGATTCAGACACTCATTCCATTCGTCCTCGCCAGTGGGATCTGGCCCTAATATAACAAGCTACCTTGCCCTTCAGAAATCAATTGAAAACCACTCCCCCTCTCTACCAAACCACTGCAAATCCACAACAGCGAGTTGTGAAGGAGGGAAAGGATCTGCAAAACAATTTGGAGATCTAAGCGAAGACCCTGGCTGCAGCGCGAAACAGTCCAAAAAGCAGAGATGGAAGTCTCTCTTCAGAGATTCTTCCATTGTTTTTGTTTTTTTTTATCTTTTTTTCCCCCACCTTTTCCTCTCTCTCACGGCCAGGGAAAAAAAAAAAAAAAAAAAAAACTT